TAGCACACGTTTAGTCAAAGGATCGGCTTCACTTGTCTCTTTGACGAGTTTTTGTGTGGTGCTAAGAATGGCAAGACTCACTGACGATGCCGGCAAAACGTCTGAGAATGTACCACCTCTACGGTCAGACTTTGGAAATGATCATGCATACAATGGATCCCGGACTGGGTGTATTCCTCTAAGTCTTCCTACCAATATGACTAAGTTGCGAAAACAATGTCAAACAACCTCTAAATACATCATATTTATTTAGTAAATATTTAAGAATGCAAATATTTGTACTTTGTGCACTTATTCGTTGTCCATAGAGACCTGAGATTATGTGTTGCCAGGCCAAATCCGTCTTCTCTCGTAGCAAAGGAGCAAGTAACGTTGTGAGGATCGAAGACGAGGCAGTTGTTGCAATCGTCGGATTCGAAGGAGTAGATTGTCCTGTAGAGCAAACCGTCTCTCTAGGCGATATCCGGGACGAAGAGGCGGCACTTACTGACAGAGGGAGACTTTTGTTAAGATTTTGGTTAGGGTCAGAGCCCTGATTTTGTATTCGGTTGTTATTCTGATTTTGTCCAGAAGTATGGTAATTATCACCATTGTGGCTGCGGCTTAGGTTGTAACTTTGGTCTTGGTTACGATTTGAGCTGGGTCCGTTAAGGTGGTCGAGAATTTGGTTAGAATTAGGGTTGGAAGTGTTATTCTGATTTTGATTCCGCTCATGGCTGTTACCATTATTCGGTGTGTTTGAGGACAGTCCAGACATAAGGCTTGTGGGCAAAATTCGAACTGAATTACAGGCAACTAGCCGAGAGAACACATCGGAGATGGACTTACGAGTGGCCAAGCTAAGATTACCGATATCCCCACTATTTACGCCTCCGAATCCAGGTGAGCCAACCAGGAAAGATGACACTGAGTTTACAGGTCCAGTTGATTTCCTATTGCCATTATTAATCTGGGAGGTATAAAGAGAAGGATTAGGAAATGGCAACTGCGGCAGTAGCGGAATGCTTGAAGTTTCAGTCGATGGAGACTGTCGCCGATGGATCCTAAGGTCCTCTGCCTATTAAAAGCACGAGAAGGTAAAAAAAAAAATAAAAACTACATATTTTGATAAGTAATTGTATTGAGGAATCGGCTGGAATAAAACTCATATAAAATGATGTAATACAGTGTGCAATGTTGTGATTGAGGGCAAGTAGCATACCTCCGCTTGTCCCGCCTCGATCCCCGTTATCGTTGAAGAATTTTGTAGGATTCGATGCCCGGAACTATGAAAGCTCCAGCTTGGTTGTTGGTAGGCGTTTTGGCTTTGTGTAGCTGATTTAGTCGATTGATGAAGTTGGCCAGCCAGACTTGCAGCGGAAAAATTAATACTATTCGCTGACGGAACCTGAGCTCGGATCGTCGCTGAAGGCTTTGGAGGATTGCCAGCTTTAAAATATAAAGATGGCAAAGGATGCTTAGCTTTACTGCGGCATGTTACCAAATTGTATGTTAAAATAAAAATATACTTGGCTTACCATATTAATAATATCGTACTTATTTTATGTTAATAGCTGGCGGAAAAAGGCAATAAAATGCAGAAACAATAAGTCCGTACGAAGCCACCACAACCAGGATAGATTAAGTTTTATCACGTTATAGATTAAATGCCACAAATGGTTTATCTATTCTCTAACGGAAGCAACATCGAAGGGAATCATACCAGCAGAGTTTTTAAAACCGGTGCAAATTGTGAAGATCTAAATACCTTAGATGAGTTAAGCTAAAGATAGTTTTGAAAGGTATATATATTAAAATCCGGAGTATGGATAATTATATGCTACCTTAAAATGGGTATATGTGGAAACAATAATGAACTCGACAAGCAACTAGCCAAGCATACTCACTTAAACTTGGAGCATAAATTTATAAGTAATAATTGATAAACGAAAAAATAAAATGAACATTGTTTAGATTAAAGGAGATTTCGTGCATGGAATAACAATATATATCTAGGTCATTGGTTAGACAACTAAGTAAATTTCGCTTAGGAAGGTAATAAAGATTTTCGTTTTGAGTAGGTTTTCGAGACTATCAGTAAATCAGATCTCTGAGTTGTCTCGAAAACCTACTCAAAACAAAATTTAAGTAATGTCATCGATTGCTATAGCAAATAAATGTTTGCTTCATCAGCAATCCCACCACAGAATGTGATATGGGAAATGCCTGGCCCTCCTTGAAATTCACATCCTCCCTGTGACCCAAGAGAACAATGTGGCGCAACGGTTAAAGTGTCGAGATTACACACTCCTCTGTCATGGTTCGATTTTATTGATTGTCGAATGTATATTCCAACCATTGTTTGTCTAAATTATGCTAGGACCTCCTAAGTAGAAACGTCCAATGAAGTTTTGGACAGATTTACCACTTTTTGGCAACAGCTATTCTTACACTTCAATTCATTAGATACGAGTCGTTTCCTTGAGCTAATTCTTATACCCAATTTTCTTACTTTCTTTTCATGTCTTCCTAACCTGTTGGAAAATCTTATCATGTAAACTATCCGCTATACTCTGGAGTTTCAAAAATTCTTCCGAACTAAGCTCATCAGCAAAAATTTGCCTAAGTCTAGCATTAGTTCTGATTAAGGAATGTAACTTTGCAATGCTTTCCTTAAGTATAATATCAACCAAATCATAGCAAACGTCCAAAATATCGGTCTTAGTCTTACAAGGTAAATTAGATCTAGTAATACTACAAAATCTAGGTATAATTCTACGGTTGGAGCAAAGTTTCAAAAAACGAATGCGATTGACTTGCCTGGCCAACGACAACAATCTTCCTTACGCGACAATCCTCCTTCGGTTTCCGGTGAGACCATATCACGAATTCCTTCCAACCGATTTTCCCTTCGAAACGGAGAGTCATGCCACAATATTTCATTAAGGAATTCTTCAAAACCCTGTTTTTCTTCATATTTTCAAAGTACGTACGGTCTTCATTCTTTTCGGAATTCGTCATTATATACAAAACCCAAAAAATCGTTAGCTAGACAAGGCAATCAAATTCGTCTTGTGAAAGTTTGCTCTACCGGTAGAATTATACCTAGATAGAGTACACCACCCACAGTCCAGTCGGAGAAGTCAGTCACGGAGTAAAGATTCTGCATTAAAATATTCAATAATACTTTTAACGCCACGCTCTTATTTGCTCAATGTGGCGACTAGTTTCACTCATTTCCTGAGGGACACAGTGCTGATGAGTCGTGCTTCGCCAAATGTTGCATGATTTGAGAGATGTAGCCAAACTGATTGTGGAGTAAAGTCACTACAAATTCTGTGCTAACGATGGCGCCTCTCACTGACGATGCCAGCTAAACGTTTAGGAATGTACCACGAATGCTATAGTAGAGGACACAGGGCTATGTACGTTCCACTAGGTCTCCCTGACGCTCCGACCAAGTTATGATAGCGAGGTTGAACCAACATTAAGAACAAATATTGTTGAGAGTATGAAAAGCTGAAACAATTTTTAATGTTGATAGGGAAACTTATATTTCCGCACCTTTCATTTTATTTTAAAAGATGGGTGAAAGAGATGCATAATATGGCACGGCCGGAAAACCGAATTGGGATCACATTTCAGTTTTCCCTGTGGCCTTGTGCAAAAAATTATGGTGAGGCCAATTTACGAATCCCTTCAATCCTCTATTCCATACGAAATAAAAGATAATAAAACATCAATTTATCAATGATTCTTCAAAACTTGTCTTATCGCATATAGGGAAAAATATTCGAAAAAAATGTTTCAGGCTTTAGATAAATTTGAAGCTACACTACATAAATCTTAAAGGTTAGACTAAAGAGTTGCCTGAATCAATGTGCAACAAGCGGGAAAGTGGATAAATGGAAAATGTAAACATCTCTTAAGCAAGGTTCCACATATGTTGGCTCTGCTTAATTTTCTTTCCAACCATAGTTACAAGACTAAGGTTGGAATATTGAATTCAATGATTCTTAGAAGTATGAGGCTAGCTGATAGCAAACATTTGACTAAAGAGTTAGAACGGCTGACAAAGATTTTCCTGGAAAATAATTATCCTTTGGGCCTAATTGAGAATAAAATCTCTCTACTGAGGAATACATTTTCAGACGGAGAACATTTAGTCAAAGAGAGGCAGAATGAGACCTTTTCCCATGTCCTAATTTTGCCGTCATGTTTTCTCTCAAAAAAGATAGGCGAATTAGTGAAGAAGTGGGGCATAAAAACAGTGTTCAAAGAAACCCTCATACTTTCTTCTATTATGCCATCTTTTAGAGAGAAATATGACCCATTATCGAGATCCGGCTTCTACAAGATTGTTTGCTCATGTGATTGATGTTATGTTGGTGAGACAGACCGACCTATTCAACAAGGATTGGTGGAAA